CCATGTTCAGACCACTTTTCATCGCATTTTCAGCACCTTCCATGTTGGTTGCTCCAGGATGAGACCCCCAGCTCTGCAGCAGTTCCTGCAGGGGCGGACACCTCCGCCGATGCCGCCTCAGCCGCATCTGGTGGAGCAGCTCCGATGCTTTTCCGTCTGGCGGAGCAGCTGCAACAGAAATCCACAGATTTCAGTGCCCTGGTGGAGATCCTCGAGCAGTTGGAACGCATCCCGGTCACCGTGGACTTGTTGAGGCGGGGGGATCGGATGGAAGTTGTGTGGATGAGGGGGAGCTCGTCAGACCCCAGAAAGACCTTCTTTCTGGTGTCTTTGCACCTTTTGCAGAAGTTTCTCTGTAGGTTCGAATCCAAGAATGCCTCATTCCTTGGACACTAATTATCCAAACTTCAGATCTTGATGTATGTGGATTCTTTCCTTGACTCTTGACACTGATTTCTGTTTAAGGCAGACACAGCTCGGAGTCCTCACTCAGCCTTTCAAGGACTCGGGCGGGTGATTGCAGTTTTGGGAAGCCGCAGAATTTACTCCTACAAGTAGAACTCATCGCCACCACAAGCTTCAAGTGACAGGATCATGAGGATAAGCAAGTGCGGCTGGTAGCCAAGAGACTTAGGAGCTGCTCGGGCTGACGCGCCGCTGCGCCAGAACGTGCGTTCACTCGATCGTCTAAGTGCTTTCTTGCGGTCGCCGCGGTCGCCCAGTTTGGAGGAGAAGTTGGAAAGACCTCATTGCCGCGACGGCCGCGACGGCCGAGGTGCAGGTGTTGCTTGGTATTGCTTAGCACATGACACACAGCCGCGTAAGGGAATAGGTGGGACAGGTGACAGCACTAGGCAGAAGTTAGGATTGCCGCAATTGGTTTGCCTGGCCTCGAGTTCCGTGGCCAGGCCACGCCAGCAGGCGAAGCAGCAGAAGAGGCTTCTTCAGCAGTTTTCGCACAGAGTACATCTCAGAGTACCAACATTTGAACCTGAGTGAGTGGTGTGTGCTGGATGCAGTCCCCAGATGCAAATCAAGCAGCCAGTTTCCGAGACCTCCGACGACTTTGGCCTTTAACGACATACCTTCTCCTTTTATTTCTTCCGCCGTCGAGAAGACAGACAACTTTGGACTAGACATGGATGACACGGAGGTCCGTTCTAGCCCAAAGTCTAGTCAATCAAGTCGCCCTGTTGTTTGGACCAAAACAGACCCTTGTTGTTTGGACCCATCTAGTCAATCAGACACGTTGAAATCGCGATGGTTTCCACCTAGTAGCTTCTTGTTACTAGTACCAAAAAACGCTCCTAGTAGTAAGGCCCGGAGCCCCGTTCGTAGCGTCCTTGCTCCTAGTAGCGATGCCTGTTCGAGCCTTGGAGGCTCCAGCGCAAGGAGCCCCCACGCGCTTGATCGAGGCAAAGCACACCATGGTGATGCTCCAAGAAACTCGCCGACTGAAACAGCCACGAGTGTCGCAAGGTTTGATCATGTTTGCAATTTCCAGAGAAATCCGCAGAAAATCCATGAAAGCATCTTATGTTTAAATCAGCATGTCTAGGATGTCTGGAGATATACGAGGCATGATTCTCATGCTTGGGGTTAATTGGGGGATGGGACAACCACCATTCCTACCTCCAACATGCAGGTAATTTTGACCGTCTTTCACTGTGGATCATTTTCAGCGCTCAGTGCTGCTGTTTCTTACAGCCTCAATGAGGCTGAGCAGGGAGTTGCTCTCGTCATCTGAGCAGGGACCAAACTACTGGTATCCTTTGGCGCACACCGCATACCCATGCCAAGGTGCCGCCTACACAGAAGGGCGAGGCCGGCCTTCAAAAGTGAACGGGCTGGATATTGATTGCCAATTATCAAAAAATATAATTGCGCAATAATGTATATAGTCATACAATGTTATACATGGCGTATTAGCGTGCTTGCAACCCCAGAACACCTTGTAAGTATATTGAGATTCCCAACACGAAATGGTGTTCAAAGTCACCAGATGATGTTGACGATGCTTGCACCATGCAAATGCAGCAGGACTTCAGAACATGTCCACGAGATGTTCAGGAGATCTTGACAGTGGAGGAAGAAGCAGAAAAGCTACTGAAAGAAATGGAGGAAGCCGATTTTGTGTATCTCATGCGAAACACGCGAGAAGATAGCAGGAAGTGACACATACGAGCGGACATGAAGACGCATTTAGTGCTTTAGTAACAAATAGTAGAACAGAGGAGAGTGGCCCACAGCAACTTCTTTACCCCTTGCCACAACGGCGGTATCCGTCACAATACCATTGGTGTTGCCTTTTGCACCTTGAGGAGATATCCACTGAGCTCGACCCCCCCAAGATTCCTGGTCCCAAGGCAGTCAAGTATTTGTGAGCTGATACATTTGCACATCTTCAAAATTGGGGTCACGAACGCTTTTCCACACCGTGAGTGAGACAATTGACAATGCTTGAGGTTGGCGGCACGGGCGATGCAGATGAACTTTTTGGGAAGACCCCACGCGAGACTCCATTGGAGCATGCCACGTGGCATGCAATTGGGCACATGTCAAGCTGATTCTGGAAAGCCTCAAGCCTTAGGATTTTGCGTGAATGTTTTTTTCATTTACATACACAGACACACGATCTACCCACACAGAGACATGGCTTCCATGCGGCACTTTGAAAGCTCTGCGTAGATCCATAGAAAGCACCTGAGGTTGGAGCTCCAAAGCATTTGTTGCGCCCGAAATCAGCTCAGCCCAAATCAGCTGTGTATGATGCTGACGAGGTAAGGTACGTTCGATGCTTTATAGTATAAAACAAGGGACTATTAGGCGTGGATATAATCAGAGAGGAGATGGAAGGAGGTCAGGAAACAGCAAAGAAAACACTCAGAAAAGCAAACACAGGACAGCTTGCTTGCTGCAGGTCTTTGGGACGTCTGGCTCAGCAGCTCGCGACCATGTTGGGGAGCGGTGTTCAGTTTCAGTGAGTTTTGGAGTACTCGGCTGAGCATTGTGAAGGTGTGTGGCTGTGCTTTTCCACTTTGTACAGGATCCCTCAAAGTCGGCACCTGCTTTGTGGAAGAAAGTGGCCAGACCTCCATCAGCCTTTGCCTCTGCGGCCAAGTCAAGTCTGGCACAGTTGCCTAAAGCCCCCGCCCCTCCCTCCAAGCTTCCACCTGCCCCAGCTCCTCCAACTCCGGCTCCTGGTGCTGCTCCAGCAACTTCAGCGTCGGCAGTTTCAGCAGCTCCTGCAGCTCGAGCTCCTGCCCCACCAACCCGGCTTCCGGCAGCAAAGCCTCCACCACCTCCACAGCCAGAGTCTGAACAGCCTGCAGCGCAGCCTGTAGCGCAGCCTGCAGCGCAGCTTGAGCATCCGCAGATGCCCTCACTCACGAAGCCGCTCCCGCCTCTGCCAGAAGTCACCGAAGCCACCCAGCCCAAGCCACAGGCTGCTGCACCAGCCGAGCCACCCAAAGAGGAGCCCCAACGGGTTATGGCGTTGCTGCCGCCCTCTCTTCCACCAGCGCCAGCACCAACCCCTCCGGAGAAGGTACAGAAAGCACCAGCACCAACTCCTCCGGTGAAGGTAGAGGAAGCACCGGCACCATCTCCTTCTGTGACAGCAGAGGAAACAGAACCTGAACGCGCTGCTCCAGAGGTACAAAGCAAGCCAAGTGTGGCGCCACTTCCACCAGTGCCTCAAGAAGCACAAGAATCATCTAATTCATCAGATGATTCCCCTGACGTGGCCAAAGTTGCTCCCCCTGTTGCGGGTGGTGGATATCTTGCTCAGAAGCCCCCTGAGGCCCCATCTCAAGGCAGGCACGTGAACTTTTCACACACACACACAATTGACGCACTTGAAACACTTGAGCAAAGATCGATTTCGGATGACAAACTGTTTACAGCCGTGTATGGTGATAGCTATGCTGCGTTATGTCCTTGATTTGTGATTTGAGCTATGCTGGCACACCTGCTGCAACCCTGACAGGCTATCCACCACGGGAGACTCCAGCGAGGCAGCGTGCCTCACGCTATAGACTGATGACTGATGTCCTTCCTTTCTTTCTTTCTGTCCGTCCGTCCGTCCGTCCGTCCTTCCGTCCTTCCTTCCTTCCTTCCTTCCTTCCTTCCTTTTTTTTCACCACATTCTTTCTCTTGTTTGAGATGCCGCGATGCCGATGTTCCGATTTTCACTGTGTGGAGGCCTGGCCCACAAATCAATCCAGGCCAGCAGCGGTTCAAATAGTAAGAACCAGTTGCTCAACATGGCAGTTGCTTGTCTAGAGAAGTTGCATAAAGAATGAAAGGCTTGCCACAAGCACGTCGCCAGAGAGCTGAACTGGTCGATGACTCAGTTCGATGGGGCCGGAAGCGCAAGAATTGTGTTCCACAAATTCCCAGACAGAAATTGACAGAGAGGGTCTTTGTCAGATACCATCCCCTTCAGCATCCCCTTCGTGCACTGTCAGGGCTCATCTTCGTTTTCATCCTGTCATGTTGTTTTCTTATTGACTGGCTTTGGGCTTTGGGCTCAGGTCTCACAATTACAATATCTCTGTCGCCTCTTCCTGGAAACGCGGGAGCAGCTCTATGCTGCACATGAAGGCACTCAGACTGAGGCGGGCGAGAGAAAGAGTCAAGAGAGATATATACTGATTATACTTGGGACAGGGAAAGGAATCTTGCGGTTTTAGGCGGCTGTTTCAGGCAAGTGCATTCTGAAGATACGCAACGTAACAAAACCTTCTTTGGCTTCCGACATGCCCACATGCGGGATTGTGGGAGGATGTGAGAGCCCAGAGGTTGAATGTTCTAGCTTCGCACGCAGGAGCTTGATTTCAGAGTCAAGCCTGCCATACAGAGCAGCAAAATCGCAATCTTCATTGCAGTCTTATCCCTCATGACATCTGCAATTCAGGTTCATTTAGAAAACTCGTATCAGCATGCACATATGTGTAACATTATATTATCAATTATATATATAAACACGTTGTATTCAAGGAGCCCCGCGCCTGTCTGAAAAAGCGGCACATTGCTATACTTTCAGCTATGGCATCATCTGTCTACAGTCTTTCTCGCACGAAAAAATGGGCCGGCTGTGGAGGGTGGTTGGCGGAGACAAGGGGGGTCTCTTGGTGCGCGACGGGCGTGAGTTGACGTCAGCCGAAAAGGCAGAGAGACTTGCGAAGCAATCGATTGTTGAGGAAGTGGAGATTGCAGGGCCGCGCTTGTGCTACAGGATATGCAGAGGAACGGGGCCAGAAACGGGATGGGTCAGCATGAAGCTCAAAGACAAGCATTTGCTGGTTCCTGCAGACACACGAGAAACTGGGAAGAGGTTCAGTGCAGAGACACCATTGCCCGAACTGCTTTGTGTTCAGCCTAGTGTAAAGCATGGCACTGAAAGAGGTGCCCTTGCAACACTGGACGAATTGGAGCAAAAGGCCTGGGCACAAGTCAAAGAAACCAACAGCTCAATGAACAGTGGGAAAGAAGCACTCGAAGACAAAATGGTCCGCTTCAAGAGCACAGTTCAAGACCTCCTCCACGTGGCATGGAAGCGTGAGAACCGCAAGCGCGTGGTCTTGTTTCTTGCGAAGCTGCTCGAGTTCTGCAGCAAGAACAATTGGACTCGTGCAGCTCAAATTCTTTGTCACCAGTTGTGCTTAGTATCCTGGGCTTCATCAATGGTAGATGTGGAGTATTACCCCTTCCGAGATGATGCTGAAACCAATCCCATGGTGTTGCTGTGTGGCTTTGGTGGATCCCACCTGGATGATTTGCAGCCAGCCATCGAGCAATGGACGAAGCGTGGTGCAGCAGTGCTGGCCTTTGGGCCAGCTCTTGTTGGAAGGGAAGACATGTTGGAGCGAATATACGAAAAGCTGATGGAGGTCCTGGGTGGTCATCCTGTGATCCTCCATTTCTTTAGTGACGGTGGATTTGGAATGGCACGCTCCTTGTTGGGAATGTGGAATGAAAGCTGGCAGCATGGCCAAACACGTCAATCACCCGCTGAGACGATCAAGTGCATCATCTCCGACGGAGCTGGTCTTTTGCCTCACGAGACCACTTACATCGAAGACATCCAAGGTGGGAAGGGTGAGCCGACCACGACCACCAACACGGCCTTGGCATTCTTCACTGGTTGTGGATTAAACATGTTGATGACCTTTGGTGCCTGCCAGGCCTTCCACGAGGAGCTAGGTTTTCAAGCTTCAATTTTTCATTTTACACCATTTTACTCTCAAAGCCAAAGAAGGTTCCACCACCACAGATCCACGTACTTAGATTTATTTAGAACATTCACCCTGCGCCGCATCTCTCGGTCCAAACAGCGAAGCCTGAAAGTGGTCAGAGTGGGGTCGACCTGGCCCTTCAGCTTTTGTCGATCATCTCACATTCCAAGAGCCCCTAGTAGCTTCTTGTTCCTAGTAGTAAGGCCAGGAGCCCCTAGTAGCGTCCTTGCTCCTAGTAGCGATGCCAGGAGCCCCTAGTAGCTTCTTGCCCCTAGTAGCTTCTTCTTCCAGGAGCCAGCAAATTCCTTTGGGAAGACACTCATCGCCTGGTCCAACAGTGGAGACTTAGCACACGAGCTGACCAGTGCTCCCAGGGGTCCATTAGCATCACTGGCAGCAATCTGGTGTTCTCCAATGTTGATTGTGGCCTCTCGAGGAGACAAGGTTGTTCCTCTCGAGCGCTCCTTGCTGCTCGAAAGCTGGCTTCGCAATCTTCCAACGCGTCAATCCCTCCAAGAGGGGAAGGAAAGGGATGAAACTCGTTTATACACACTGATTCTGGAAAAGGCCCTGCATTGCAGAGCTATGGCCACTCATGCCGAAGAGTATTGGGAAGCAGTCGACAACTTGCTAGCAGCAGGTGGGGTATCATGCTCAGGGTAATGCTGCTGGTGCAAAAAGTTTGGATGGCATCACAGGTGGCCAGTGAGCGTTGCAGCCCCCAACGTGTCCCACGATTCTGTCAACCTGTTCGCGGTTTTCAAACATAGTTGTCAGAGCATTGCATCCAGGACCGCCTTTTGAACGAGTTTTCTTCAGTCAAAACCATTCTGGACGGGCACAAGAACAATAGCCCGGCTTATCAGATGCACTGTGTCCCAGAAACGGACAGATATGTAGCATCATGTAACACCCAACTTAACATCATGAGCTGCCCAGCCCAGCATTTGATGGGCAGCAGTTCAGTGGAGTTTTGGCTGCAAAGCAACCACCTGTAGAGTCTACACTGTAGAGTAGGTGGAGATTTGATCAAATCGATAGGATAAGACAGATAAGAATCTTGGATTGTTTTGTTTGCGTTCACTGAAACAGATGGTTGGTTTTCGCCTTAGGTGAGTCAACCTCCACAAACCCTGCAAAAAGATACCTCAAGCTTTGGACACCATATGGAACAGTGTAGCACTGCAAGTAATTCTATGTAATTCTAAACACATCTCAATTGGAAGGACTACACAGGCATAGACCCCAAATGGTGATAAGAAGACTCACGGACTCCCTATGCGGTTTGAGCTACCTCTCATATATAATCGCCAACCAGATGCCGAAGGCAAAATGAACAGGGGCTAGGCTAGACGACTCCAGGGGACTAGGCCAGAGTGCAAACGAAGTTGCGATCGGGGCCTGGCTCCAGAGTCGGGTTCAAGAGGTTCATCACCCCGGGGCGAACAGTTCCAATTCAGGGCCTGGTTCTAAGTCTGATGGCCTCCAACCTAAGAGCGATGGCCCCCCAAGCTCCCCCTAACAGCGATGGCCTCCAACCTAAGAGCGATGGTTCCAACCCATCCGACCCATCCGACTCCAGGCGAACTGTGACGGTCTGCGCGAGGAGCTCGATGCCGTGCGCTTTCGGCGCTTGCTGGAGGAGCCGTTCTGCCGGCGCCGTTCTGCGGCGCAGAACGCGGTGCACCAATCGAAGTCGGTTTGGATCTCGTGTGTGCTCCGAAGAGATCCGAAGGGAGCAAATCTCAGACCAAATGAGCAGCGGCCAAAACTTCCATGCAACAATTTGGAGTGAGGTTATATAAGGTTATATGATAACAATAACATTAATATTAATGTATAAGAATGTATAAGATGCCATCGCGAAAGGTAGGTAAACACGCAGTCGTGAAAGATTCGAGATAGATTTCGCAAACTTTTCATGTGTGAAAACTTACAAAAGCATGCGAACGTGCTTTTGCACAAAATTCAGCGCCCGAAAGCCAAAGCGCAAGCCGCAAAAGTGTTGCGAAAGGAACTTGCGAAAGAAGAGCCCGTTAGAACCAACTCTTAGTGCAAGCCCTTAAACTTCAGGGGTTGGGAATTGGGAACCTAGTCGAAATAAATAGAGACGTAGAAACCGCTCCGTCGTCCTTGTGAGGCCATGGAAAATGATGGACACAAAAACAGCTTCTTGTTCCTAGTAGCTTCTTGTTACTAGTAGTCAGGCCAGGAGCCCCTAGTAGCGTCCTTCTTGCTCCTAGTAGCGATGCCAGGAGCCCCTAGTAGCTTCTTGTTCCTAGTAGCGATGCCAGTTGGAAGGCGATGAACGAGGAATTCCGGTGCCTCCAGGAGACCTTGGGAAAGTCGCATGGTGCGAGGCCCAAACCACTCATTCGGCTCTTGAGGCGCTGAGTGACCTTTCTCCTTTCAAATCTGGAAGTAGGATGAAGTAGGATGACCACACGATATTTCAATTCATATCATGGCAACTGGTGTTGTGCATATTACTATTATTACTACATCATATTACTAATCCTGACTTCAGAGGAAGAGTTGAGCCTGTGTTCATGACTCTTGTCTTCCATATTTCTTTGCTGCACCGAAGATCCTTTGGGCGCCGAGCACTCTATGGTCGTCGACGAAGCCCCTACGGTCGCAGGAGGCTGAGAAGATGGGTTGACAACAGAGACATTTGGGAGTCAGCTATTTTTATCCATTTTCAACAGGTTTCATATATTCAACTGTTCGTAAAAGAAAAAGAGAAGGTGCTTGGGACCCCTTAATACATAACCTCCAAAGGGAACCTTACTGTAACTCTTTTGACCATAAATGAAATCAGAACGGCACCTACTTGGTCAACCTGTGGCCAGATAAGGTTTTCAGGACTCCTGGCCTTTATGGCCAATTCTTTCTTCTGCTTGCGATAGCTTGTCATCCGAACAAGCTTGACAACCGTCTCAAATTGAGCCAACAATATGTTTCTCGCGGCATGGCAAGCTTCTTCGCTGAAGCCCATCATTTGGAAGACCTGCAAGCACAACTCCACACACACACACAAAGCCTCATAGCTTTGCAGTCAATGGTCCTCTACCCAGCTTTAGGGCTATCTCAATACAATACATAGTAGACACATATATATATATATGTATATATATATGTATACACTATACTATACGCATACTTGATTACATGTTACAATATGTTTGATATATTTACACCCCCCTCTCTCTCTGTATTGCCTGCCCTCTTGGACATCCCCTCTGTATGTTTCAGTCGTGTTTGTCGGGTTGCTAGTGAAAAACATCCATGAGATCACCTACCTTGGCCACGCACCAAGCGCCGAAAACGGTTGCTTTTCGCAGCGTAGCCTTGTTTGGCAAAAGGTTTGCCTAGTTTGCTTGCCTCCAACATTTGCTGCAATCTGATAGCAGCGCCAAAGACCCAGATAGTCTGTCAACAACATCCACATTTCAGCTTCATGTCACAACTCGTTGCCGCACCACCGGGAAACAGCAGGGACATGTGAAATCAGTAAGGAGAGAAACAAAGGAGAAGGAATGGTCAGTTGAAAGTGAGGAGAAGCAAAGATGCCATGACTTAGAGTTTTGCTGTTGGCTGTAGCAGAAATTAATGCAGATGTTGCTAGCTGTGGCTGAGCGTTGAAAGTTCTATATTTTGATATTCGTGATGTCTTTGCACCTGAGGTCAGGCTTATGCCCTCTTTCGACAGGCGTGTTGGTCTTTCATGGAGTGAAGCTCTCATTCATTCTCATTTTCTACGCGTTGATGATGTGAGGCATGCACTGGGCATGAAGGACCTCAAGGCTTTGTTCTGCGTGCTGTTCCACAAATGTCGTTGCCCCAGTTCCACAGATTGGCATTTGTGAATCATGTGATTCCGTATTGTAGGAACTGTTTCTTGAACAGCTTGTCAACCACCTTTTTGACCTATCATTGCACTTTTATGCATTTCCTATGCTTTGGACGCAGCAAGCTAGCGTGATGATTGCCATGAGAGTTTGAGTTTGATGCCTTTTGTTGACCGGCCATGGTCCAATGGTGTAGCTTGGCAGTCTGCGACATGTGCCCCAGTCTCCGACTCATCGACCGTCTCATTGATGAAGGCAAGGATCTCGGAGGTTTGCTGTTCTTGAATGATTGGCAATGGTTGTGATGCATGCTAATGCTGATGTTCCCCTATTCCGCAGCCCTTGGTTGATCACTGCGCTAGCTGCGAGCTTGCAACGTTGGTATGCACGAGAAGTCATTGGCAAGAAGCTTGTTGATGGTTTGCCAGAGGTTACAGTCGGTGGCTTCCCAGAGGTTGGTGGTTTCCCAGAGGATTACAGTTGAAAAACAGCGGCCGACCGCCCCAGGTCGCAGAGCTATGGGGGAAGCTATGGAGGATGGAGCTTTCCTCAGCCCAAACTGGGGATTCGAAACAGACATTCCATTGCTACCAGCCACAGCTATTTTGTAATTCTTGTCTAGATTTAACAACTATCGATTTGCGAGGTGATCTGGAACTATTCACGAGAATGTCAACAAAAGCCTTCTCTGCACTTCCATCCCATCAATTTGTTAGCTGCATCCATCAAGCATTTTGTGTGCACCATGCCATATGTGCCATGCAAGTACACATGCACATCGTGCAACCTAGAGTAATGTTTTAATGTCTAGCCAAGTCTTGTGTCATAGAGCAACCTCACATATCCTCACCCGGTGCCTGCCATGACAGAGATTCGCTCGCTTGCTCGCCAGCTCAAGGCGGAGATGACCCCTGGCTAGATGGTGCAGACGATGAGACGGATGTCAAAGCCACCTGGCGGCATGTGTCCGAACCAGCATTTGATGTCCAATCTTCTGACCTAGTTATTCCATGTTATTCCACGAGGTGTGTTTTTTTCATTTGGCTTGCTACTTTGCTTTTCTCGGCTCAGGCCAAGGGCGGCTTGCCTGATTGGGATCGCTTGGAAGGAATCCTCTCCGAGCCTCAAAACCTTGAGTCTTTGCATGCCGAGGACAGACTCAAGTGGGCTCACTTCTGCGAGAATCCTATTGGATCAAACCTCTGTCATTGGATGGATGTGCATGCAAAAATGACAGGCGGATGCTTTTCTTGCAGCGGAGACATCAAAGCCAACGCCACTTTGCCTGTCAAAGGCCACGGATGCAAGGAATTGTGGCAGCAGGGGCACTGGTTTGGTGTATCGCGTCGAGTGCTTTGTGGATGATATGTTCATGAAAACTGGGAAAGACTTGTAAGATCTTGTAAGTAGGGAAGAACCACATGAACCGTTTTGCAACCTTTGCCAGGACTTCACTACACACAATCTGTTGCGGTAGAAATCACATGAAACTACAAAGGGGGCAGCGAGGAAAGAGGGACAGTTTCAACCAGATTGGCTCTTGGTAGTCGCATGTACAAGATATAAGATCATTCAGGTGTACCTGGGAGCATGTCACAAAGAAAGTGCGTTAGCACGGGCAAATTCTGCGCTTGTGGACATTCCTGAAAGACTTGCTCATGCCTCGTGGCTGAGTTTGCAGATAGGTCTAACCGGTCTAAAGGTCAATGTAAAGAAAACAAGAAAAGAACGAAAAGAATGAAAGAAGGAAAAGGAGACAGGAATCGACCCCTTCTCCTCTGTGGCCAGGCTGAGAGGGAGGCAAGTGCAGCTCCTGACAGCGGCAGCTT